GTTAAAAATTAAGACCGCATCGGTGCAATTATTCGAACTATTACGGGTCCTGACTACTACAGAATTTTCAGAGTCCTGCCACAAATAAGATATATATTGAACATTGACAATCTGTGACGTACCACAACAAGCAAAAATTTAAAAACTAATAAGCGGACTTAAAATTAATAAATACAAATGTACAATTGTTTGTATTTTGACAGTTTATGAGTTAATTATACTTTCTATTTGCAAAATTTCTTCAGCCTTAACACAGAATAAGTAAAAAGTCAACTTGTAAGAAAGTTGCGGGATTTTCCGGAATGAGAAGAATTTCCCCGGTTAAAACCAGCAGGGATCCCGTTAGAGAAACCCCATCGAAGATGGCCAGACATTAGAAAAGAGGACCGGCGAGTTATTTAATTTTCGTGTAAATTTTTAATTCGTCCAAAATTTGCATTTATTTACTTGGTAATTTGTCAAGAATGTGAATACGTAAAATCTAGAATAAAGAAATAAAATAAATTATAATATAAAAAGGTCACTTCTTTTTAAAAAGTACAGATGATTACTTTATTAATTTAAAATTGTATATCATCTTTGTGAAGTAAAATGGGTGATAACAGATTTTTTAAAATTTATCTATTGTAAACTAAATTTTAAATGTTATCCGCATTTTTCTTCTGTAAGATACTCCGAAATCTGTTGGCCGGGTCTAAAGGTATAGAAATTAGCAACCGATCCGAAAGGATCCTAAAGATATAAAACGGTCGATGGATTACGGGTCAGCCCGTATTTCTAATTGCGCGTGACTAAAATCTAAATCTCTTACGTTTTAAGATAAATAATTCATGTTCTGTTATGAAATGCGAGACGAATAACCGAGAAAGATCTTGCGCAATTTTCCTTTTAACTACGTTTTATGTAAATAAGGCCAGAAAAATTGAGCAATACGCGAAAAGTAGTTTTACTTTTTTAATTTCGTTGGCCACGTCGTAAATATAAATACGACTCGACACAATAAAAATCGCTGATTTTCCTTCCTTTTATATTTATTTTACGAGTCGCGTAAAGTTATATTTGGGCAAAGGATTTCGTAAATCATTTACATTTCGCTCTCTGTAATTCTTTTTCTCGCCGCATATTTAAGAGAATATTTAAATTATCGATTAATTAATAATTTATATGCTTTTTAAAACAATTAAGTTATGTATAACATACAGTAATTCCATTGTATAAAAACGTAGAATTGCATTTTAAAATACTATCGTACGCTAACCTCGGCCATAATTAGTGAGGTTAAAACATTATATAGGATTTCGACAATAAAAAAGTAATATAAATTGATATTAAATTAATTATTAAATTTAATTTATTAAAATTAATTTTAATAAATTAAATTTAAAATTTATTATTTTTTTAAAAATGAAAATTTTAATTTTAATTTTAAACAGAAAACGAAAGAAGTAATAAATTAGCCTATTCGGATGTATTATCGAAAGAAAGAATGAAAAAAAGAATGAATCGAAAGAAAAAATACGATAAGCGCAAAAATATATAAAACAGTGTGAGGTCAAATATAATAGATACGTGTCAAACTTCACGAGTCACGTACAGCCTAGATAAAGGAAAACGTTTTTGGTATGTTAATTTAAAAATTTTCGAGCAAAGAAAAAAGGAAGTAGATTAAAGAAATTTCTGAAACGTTCTCTTTAAATGGATATCCGAAACACTATTACAACGACTAAACGAGTTTTGTGTAAAAAATAAAAGACACACATTTACAGCAGTATATTAAATTAGAATATACAACAAGAAATTTCCAAAATATAAAAGAGTAGCGAAAAGTATAATCGAACACGTAAATTGAAAAAGAGTACTTTAGTCAATAAAAACGTAAATAGGATATGGGAAAAATGGCAATGTAGTACTTTATACAGTTTTAAGTGTAATTGCCAGTAAAGTCGCAAATATATCAGAGAAACAAAAACAAGACTAAAAACATTATTCAACACGTAAAACGATAATAGAAAATCCCAAGTAACAAAACAGTGTAATAACATCGGGTGCGAAATCAAAAAAGACTCAATAAAAATAAAAGAAAGAAATTAACGTATATTAAATAAAATGGTCCCAACACCTAGAAATTATAAAAACAAAATCAGAAAAAACGATAAATGATAACGGTAACTTTGGGATTGTGCGTCTCGACTCCCGAGTTTGAGTTCGGCAGAAAAATCACCTTACCGCCCGTTTTATCTTAGACCGAATCCATTTATTTCACCACCATTTACGGCAAGAAAAATGGATGGCTTCGACTCCACCTAGTCTTTTCCCTTCTTCCTCTTTTATCCAACTTGTAGATTCCTCGGCCCTCCAATCCGTAGCGGAATCGGTAGTTTTTTTAGTCACATCTGACTTAATGCGGTCGCGGTGACTAGCGCTACCCGATCCCCTTTTGAAAAGCGAATTCTTTCGAGTGGAAACCTAAATCACTTTGTCTCCATTTCTTAGGCCTTCTTGACATAAACGTAAATTTAAAAATGCGTGATTCGCGGAATCCCTTTATCACCTTCCGGGGGAGTAATTAATAGTAATTCTGTGATGATACGTAAACCGGTATCAAACGAATAAGAATAAAAGGTAAATAAACCGTTAAGTAGCGTTTTAAACTGTAGGTTAGTAAGGATAAAAGCAACCTAAAATTTCAAACTAAATATTTGGGTAATATCAGCCGAATAAAATAAATGAAGAAGAATTCGAAATTTCTTGTAGAAATATAAACACGGTAGTAGCTGTCGTGACGTTATTATTCGTTTAAAATGTAGATTGGTGAATTGCTTTTTGCCTTTGTGTTACAATACGTTTGCCTTTGTGTGAAACTTTGAATACGTTTTGGCTTTACGGAGCTCTATTGGCTGTACTTATCACACACTATTGATGTTCTGGGAATAATCACACGGATGTAGATAGACAGGTTTATTCCCACGACAGTATGCATTTCGGACATGTTGTCTGTCTTTCTTCGGTCGTATTTATTTCAATTTGGTGGTATACGAGCGCATTTCCGTTACAAACGTGCTCATGATTAAAATATTACAAAATTACATTTTGTATATACGTAAAAGAAACAATCTGTTTTGTTGCCGATGCGTGGTGGACTTCGTTTTCGAGATTTTTTACGTTTGTTGCGTTATGTCTTCCGTACAAATAGCAATATGAGATTTAAAATTGTTGCCAATGAAATTAGCTATGAAGTAAATATTATGGTAAAAGAACCTAATGCAAAGTTATAAACAAGATTACGGTTACAAAAGTAAGAGTTGTTTTAAGAAAGATTACGTACGTTTTTGTAGACGGTCAGTCGGTACAATGTTCTCTACTACAGAAGCTACCCTACTATAGAGTGGTATCCGGTGACGGTTATATAAGTATTACCTGCTGGCTAATAGGTTTCGGATGAGATCTAGCTATTACGGATTCAGAGTCGTACCCTACCATAGGGCGAACGGAGCAGCCGCTCCAGGCGCTAAGTCCTAGAGGGCGCCTCAGTGGTAAAGAAAATTAAAGGGTATAAATTAGGGGCAACCAAGGGGCCGCCATAATAGGATCTCGCTCCATCCTAAAACTTGCCTCGGGCCGGCACTGATTATTTCTAAATGTTTGTATAATTTGCGTTTGGTGGTATTTCTTTCGGTTTTTAATATCTCAAACGAATTAGTGTTGCCACCTTTTCAAAATCGCCGACCCGGACGGCGAGTGAGGTTTGTTCGAACAGAAGTTCCTGACGCATGCGCCATGTCATTTTGCAATGCGAAGAATAACGTGCTATATCAGAGTTAGGGACTAGGGAGACTCGGGTGGGAGTAACGTAAGTAACCTAAATTAAGAAGTACAGATGACTTAGCTCTATTGGAGATTGGAGACGTGTATCAATCGTATAAGCAAAACAACGACAGGTCAAGCACGAAATTTCCGGACAGAATTGATAGTTCCCCCGGACTGACCGGGTAAAAACCGGACGGGTGGTAACACTATAACACTTTAACTCTCCTTTGGTTCCTCAGCAAAATTAAAAAAATTATAAACCGCATTGTTTTCTCCGAAATGTCGATAATAGCATTATTGTTGCTTAATCTTTTCTGGATCGTTTCGGTGGGAGCGGGAACAACACGCGTATTAAATTGCTTGAGTTTTTTCGAGAACATTTCTGACGTACGAAACCTGACAGGATTTGGTTGGGCTATTTCTGGTGTTCTGTTATTTAATCTACCTAGTCATTTTAATAAAGATGTTTGGGGTAATTATTCAATAAATATAGTTTAATAATGCCGTTAAATTCGGAATTTTCATCTATTATATCTGTAGTTCTATTTTTTATGTTGTTGATAAACCAGTCGAATGTGTTTCTCTTTACATATAAAGGTGTTTCTGAATTCTAATCTATAATATTTTTAACGTTGCATTCTTTAATATATCTATTAACTTTAATTCTATTGTTTAATCTAGTTATTAAAGTATCCAGGAAAGATAATTGGTGGTTTTTCCCAGTTGTAATTTAAATTTTATATTTAGGTCTGGGTTATCGATGTGTATTGGAAATTGATTAATTTCAATTTGGGCGCTGTGGTAAATGAGTAGGCAATCGTTCACGTGACGGTAAAAGCCTAAAATTCTAAAACCATTGGGAAATTATTGGGTAAAAGAAAGATGAAAAGTGTGTGGGGGAACGGGTGGAGAAGAAATTTGTCGTTCGTTCGTCCCACGCCTCCAATGGCCCATTTATTAAAAACGCCGACGTAATCCACCGGCGACGATTGGCGTTTAAAAAAGAAGGTCGACCCACATTTCCCGCCCAAGAGGTCCGCGCCGGCGGAACTAAATCCAATTGTCGTCCGTTCATTCCGTCGGTGTCTCGCAGCACCGAAAACCCGTCGTGCTGGGGCCTCGATTCCCAAATAAAACGCGAAGAAACGTTAAGAAAAGACCGCGCCCGAAAATCGTCAATTACAGGAAGGACGATGGAAAAAGGAAGTCCCGTCGGTTCCTACCGGACGGCCGGACTCTTCTCCCGGATGTTTTTCTGGTACGTTACTTTTCTTACTTTACCGCGTCGTAATTACGTCGTCAGACATCCATCACCCACCGTTCTCATCCTACGATAAAAGGACACCGATCCCCGTTTACTGAGAAGTTATTTAACCGGACTCCATTTTAACGTAATGCGTCCGTCCTTCTTTCGCCGTTATCGACGGCCGTTTCCTAGCCTTTAAAGGGTGACGCCCAAATGGGTATTACTTTTACCCACGCTGCCATTTCGTGTGGAAAAGACTAAGTCGCGCGTACCAAAAAATAAACTGCTATCGCCGCTTCTCCCGTACTGTCCCTTGGCGTAAATGATTTTAAACACTCGTATTTGTCTTCAACTGTCTTCCTTTTCTCTCTTACTTACGCTTAATAATAAGACAATTTCGTATAAATCTAATTGTTTTGGGCAATTTTCCACCTAGGCGTAATCTTTATTGTAATTGGATTTCAGCTGGCCCCTTCCGTTGTTGAGAATTGGGTGGAAGAAAGGTATCGAAGAAAAGGACTCGGACCGAGTACTACCCGAAGACAGATCGGAATATTTAGGAAATTTACTACAAGAGTAAGTTAAGAAGCCGAACGTTAGTGTCGCCAAAAAACAATTCGTTAGCATATTTATTTTTCTTCTTCACTCGCGGAATTTTTTATTTTTGTCACGTTTGTTTTTCGTTATTATTTAACCTTTACCTAACCCGGTGGGAAGTATCGTTCGCTTTCGGGTAGCCTACGGAGAATTGTGTTTACGCGTTTTCTAAACTCGAATTTCATATTCATTTAGGCCTACGGGTATTATAAAATGTGCAATTTCAAATGCGCTCTATTCGTCTCGAAAAATTTTAACACTTTTCAAATTAATTTTAATAACGACTTGGACGGAAAAGACAATCACACCATGAAATCTGGTGCTATTTTGCCTCCGAAACTGTTTAATATCTTTAAATACAGGCGTTCCTCTTCTTGCTCGGTGGATACGTTTCGAACAACGCCGCGTCAAAAACGTGGCATAAAAAAGTACAGTACTTGCGATTAGCAGAAAAAGGCTGGACGGGATCCACTTCCGTGAAACGAAACAATAAGCAATTTACTGTTTACTGTATTTATATAAAGTATTCTTTTATGTATTTACAGCGTTGTACTCTGCTTACGCTTAAAAGGATAAACAAACTCTTAATTTCATCGTAAAAAGAAAGTAACTTTTTTGCGATGACAATTTTAAAGAAATGTCAAATTTAACCGGCAAATAATTGTTTCGTAACTAACATTTTATATCTTGCGGCCTGTAATTAGTTCGAGAGGGAGTAAAACGACGCCACAAATTTCAAAACGTAGTAACCGTCGTTTACTTTAATGGCGAGTATCCATTCTTCGGCGTAATCGCGTTACAGAGCGATACATTTATCCGAGTGTTCCAGTTTAATATTTCCTTTAATTTTGGGAACAATCGAAAACCCGAATTTTAAGGATAAGAAATGATCTGTAATTTTAGATTTTTCAACGCGGTCTACTTCCTTACTGTAGCGAAGTCTCCGATTATGGCGGTTTTTTCCACCTTCCTCTAAGAATACGTTCTTTCAATGCCCGTAAACTTCTACAATATTTTACTGAATTGCTTCTTTTCTTCCTTTAACTTTATAATCTACGAAATCAATTCTACGTACGGAGTAGAAACATTTAATTCGGCTGTAAAAATTAAATGCCGTGCAAATAAAATAAAATAACACTATGCGTGTACAGACTAGGATCTCGTGACTCGTTTCGGGTCGAGTGTGCTTATTTCCATACTCGCCGAACGCCTCGGAAGGAGATGTTGCGGCCGACGGTTTCGTGGCGAAAACGTGAACTTCGGACGTTCAGCGCCGCATTCCCGTAAGCCTAGAAGTTTAACAATGGCGTTTGAACCGTCAGTGGAATCACGCTCGACGTTCCAAACGCCATTGTCAAATTACTACATAACGTATTAAAGAATTAAACCAATCAAACATCTAGACATCGCGCATGCTCCGTTTTTATTTAGTTGTACGTATTTGAGAAGCGATAATATCGAGTACCCGAACACGTAATATACCGGAAAGCTATCGATATTAGAAGGTAAGAAAATATCAAGAAATGTAAAAGAAATAAACCTATCAAAATTCATCGCCAAAGTAAATAATTGAGCATTGTATCGATCTTCTCTTGTCGTATTCAATTGTCGGGAAGTAAGTATAAGCCTGCTTAAGAAAACTAATTGATAATGAAGGCTATAATCTACCTTTGCGGTGTTCCAGTGTTATTAAGCAATCTTACGCTTAGTTGCGATAAATGTGCATTGGTTTCAATACGATTTTATGCGATAGAATGACTTGGTAATATCTTTCTTTTACATTAGATGCGGTTTTAAAATAGTGTCGTAACGTTACAAAAAGTTTGTGCGGTACGTGCGGGACATATATCCTGACGACTAATAACTCATTTGATGATTCGTTCGAATATTTCAATGACTCGTCATTGCTATTCGATTTGAAAAACATTTACGATTTCAATAGAAAGATTCATTCGAAGTTGAGCGAAAGCTTTACGACTTTTTCTGCAGAAAATGGAAAAAAGAATTGGAAAAGAAAAAGCCCAGTTTATTAAAGACTTTAATACCTATATTTGGAAGAAAGTACTTACTTCTTTTTACCCTTCCGATATTGCAGGTAAGGGTCTCCGAGATTAAATATTACTACGCAAAAGGTTTATTTATTAACTTTCCAATTATATTTTATAGGAATGTTTTTTACTTATCGTCCAGGCGTACTTATTAGGAATAGTAATCGATTATTTTGACGATCAAACGGCAGACACGGAAACGATTGCTCGCTTATCGGCTGCGGGAGTTTGTATGTGTTTATTCCTTTATATGTTATGCATCCATTCTTTAATATTCAACACGCAGAGATTAGATATGCAGTTAAGAGCGGCTTGTTGCAGTCTCATTTACAGAAAGGTGAGTCAAGTATATGACCGATTTTCTACGAATGCCAGTAAAATTATAAATATTTTATTGCTAAATCCAAAATATTGAAAACGTTTAATTTTGAACTTAACGGGTGAATTATTTTAGAGTTTCGCGGATTGGGATATAAAATTTCAGTCGATTTTTCATTTGTACTTAAATACCTTTTTGCGTAAAAGCACTATTTACTAACACAGATGAATTTAACGCATTACCTGGTTTCACAATTTTGTAAGAAATATCTCTATTTTAAGTAAATAGATAATTATAATTTTTTGTTTAGTTTATCATTTGTTTTTGTATGTATAACTTCTGAGAATACGTTGTAAGGCAAGACGTCATTCTGCATTACCATTTAAATTAGCACCGTCTTTAGTATGGTATGCACTAAGTTTTAATTCTAATATAGTAAAAAAAATCGTTCTAAATTTTATATTAAGTTATTGTTATAGTCGTTATGACTAAGTCGTTAACCCAACACCTACGTTGCTGATTAATAAAAGAAAAAAAATTGTACGTCGGAACTGGGACAAATAAATTATGGAACAAGGCTTTGCTGATACATCGAGTAACGCCGGTTGAATATAAAAGTTAAAATTTGGCTAATGCTTAAAATTTAATACGGTAAAACCCGTGTAAAAAATCGGAAATCGCGCGGTACTGAATTATTTTTCCGGTTTTACGGGTTTTCGTTTTGAACCGGCTTCTTTATTTACTTTATCTTAAAGTAAATAGAGTGGCCGTGATCTTAGATACTGCGCTCTCGGTGACAACGACGGGTACTATCAACCGTCATTTTACTTTAAGTTAAACCACGTGTGGGATGGAATTGTCATTGTAGAACCTGTTTTTCTCATCTAAATCTAGATTGTGTTCTTTGCTCCTAGATTTCGGATTTAGACAATTAAATAAGTGATATAAATCTACATTGTTTCATCTCGAATTTAGCTATCTTCTAGATTTTATTTAATTATTATAAAGCACGTAAGATCACAGTTTAAGTGGTAAGTGTAGTACTTAACCCTCAATATAACAATATTTTTATAATGTAAGTACGAGCCGGGTACTCGAAGGGCTTTACTCTCAACCATAGGATTGTTTATTTATAGTGTAGTCGGGTCAGTCTGATCCGTACTATACTTGGAAAGTTGTCGATTTTTATCGGACAGTGTTTTTTCTTTGCGGAACATACGTACTGTTCTTGTGTTTTATTATAGTTGTACTCTTCTTGTGAAAATTTCGGTCTCAACTGGTGAAAATATTTACAATGAAAAACTACATTTTGAAGCTTTGTCGTGTTACGAATTATTGCTGAGTTAAAGTCTTCGTACGAGGTAATAAACAGTTAATTAACCCGATATTCATTTTCCTAAAATTTCCAAGGGAAATACTCGTGGGAAGCAATTTTCCTTTTCCAAGGGAAATACTCGTGGGAAGCAACCCCATACCATAGCGAGAAAACAGTGCGGGTGGTGATGGGTCATTCCATTTGTAATTTAATACTACGCTCGCACACAATCCACGACTCATTTCGATCTCGATTTACCTATAATCTAGATTGTGACTGTCGCCAGTCGAACGTCGTGCTGTTCGCGCAGGCAGTCCCTCGAGAAGAACCCGGCTATTACACGCGATGATAAAACTGTCATAACTGCGCGGTAAGTCACGAACACAACAAACAAAATGGAAGTTTTGCTTAGAAATAAATACTTTTTCTTGCCATATATTTAATAATAGACAGATGTCATCGTCTCTCCAGATGACTTTTTTATTTCTCTGTCGATGGGCTGACACGCGTTCAGCATCCATCTTGTATTTTCTCGCGGGCGTGAGATTGTGGGATCTCTCTTATGACTGGATCTAGTTTCGAGGACTGTCTCGAGTCGATCGCGATTGAACCTCGTTTCGGTCGAGAGAGGTCGCACCACGGCGTAGTCGCCGACCTTGATCACAATCTAGATCGAAATACTCGGTGCGAACGGGCTGTAAGGTTACTGAAAGGAATTTCCTAGTCTGTTTATAACTCGATTCCCTCCAAACACGGGCCTTGTTTCTGGAATATAATAACCCCCAGGAAAATTGAACAAATATAAGTCACACGAAATATCCAATAATGTTAACAAAAATACAATTTTGAATGGGACTGTAGAGATAATCAAGCACTTACCAGAAAATGAAAACCAATCGTAATCTCCGAAATTAGTTCAGACTCAGATTCTGTTAAAAGATGTTCATGACTACCACACCATCTACTTCTCACGTAGGAACGAAAACAAAGTGCACGATAGAAAAGTCATATTTAACGATGAAAGAGATATTGGATTATTCCTTAAACATACGCGCGTAGACACTGATAAAAGTATTTTAAGTAAATTTAAAAGTGTGAAAGATATAGTTAAGAAAGAAATTAATTATTTAGTAGAGCAAAAAATACAAGGAACGCATCGTAAGAATGTTTTCCGTGCTCTAATGACAGTACGTCCAACTAGTATTGATTCCACGAGAGTTTTTTTCTAATACAGTTGCCATTTGTAAGTAAATTAGATCTAGATTAGACCACGAGAGCCTAAATGTATTATGTTTTTAAGAGCCTTCGTTCAAAATATAAAAAAAGACATAATTAATAATCAGCATTATTTTAATGTCTGTCATGTCATAATATTTGATTTTACAGAAAAAATATACCGGTATGTATTTTGATACTCTACATACTGTGTACACGATGAGTCAATTTCATTCGGTCCTTTCACACGTTGTTGAGGTAATAACAATTCTACGGCGGAGTCGACCTTTTATTGTAGTGTACTCGTCCGCTTTACCGGGGCTGCGGTGTCGGTAAAAAAAAACACTCGACTCCTACTCCTGATAACTTTATTAGACCGATTCCGACTCGGACTCCGGCAAAATTAATTAATTAAATACAAAGTCATTTTACGGGGCACTCTACTAGGAACTCCGAAAGGAGGAGCCTGGGGCGTTTACCCAAATACTTTTATAGTTAGTATTTTTAATATCAAACTTACATTAATATTTATTTGTATAAAAAAATTAATTTTTAACAAATATTTAATAAGAGAAGAAAGGGGGCGATAAAATTCTACATTTACATATATTCGACAGCATTTGCACTTCAATTTCACCCTTCTAGAAGAGTTAGTCCAACTAAAAAGTGTGCGATCTAGCTACTTCGGCCCTTATTCGGAAAACAAAAATATACACTCTGGTCAATTAGTCTGACTCATTCAGAAAAATGGCGTACTTATTTAGAGCGGGGACGATAGAGGAATGATTCAAAAATACTGAAATTCAATTGAGTCGAAATAATTTAACTAGAAAACACGTATTCTGCAAAGAACACTGCATATTTAATAAATTAAATTGATGCATTTTGTATTTAAAATAAATGAATTATAACAAAATACAAAAACAATTTTAAAAATTGATAAATTTTCTTTCATTGAATCTACTTTAGCTTTTTACTTAAAAATGCCGGAGTGGGAGTCGACGCATTTTTTCCGACTCCGCAGCCCTGCCACGTGATGCAAAAAATTTAAAATACTCCTTTAGCGGTGGCGCACGAAAGGCCTACAATAAAAAGTCGACTTCGCCGTGAGATCGTTATTACTTCGACAGCCTGTGAAGGGACCGAAGGAAATTGACTCGTCCCGTATGTATAGTCTCGAGAAATATGCTTTTTTGTAAAAGTAAATTCGTCCCGGCAGTTTTTTCAAAAATAATAATTGTTATTACAAGAATGTTGCTTGTCTAAACCAGAGGTGGCCAACGGTTTTTGCCCCCGGTCCGAATTGGAAATAAAACTTTTTCCAAGAGCCGAACCCGAGGCTACCCTAGGAAGATTTTCAGGTGGTGCGAGATCTCGTTGCGGTGTCACCCCGTAGAGATTAAATTGTACTGTACATAGAGATTACGGATACAATTTTTCACATTATCACGCTTTATCAACATTCTACGCTGTACTTAAGAGATTTGTAATGGAGGGTTAACTCTAAACGACAGTGAGTCGTTGATTTCAGAATTTTTCATCGAGCTATTCGGACTGGAGTAGCTAATATTGAAAAATTAATCGCGGGCCGCATAAATTCATTAGACGGGCCGTATGTTGGCCATGCCTGGTCTAAACTGTCGTTCATAATTCTGTCAGTAATTCAGTTTACTTTTAAATCATTTGTTAATACGAGTTTACCGTTAAATTACCGATAAGCCGGTAATTTCGAATATAATTGCCGAATTACCGGTAAATTTGCAATGACTAAACCCAACATAAAATAAAAATTTTACGTATACAAATAATTGTTAATACTTGATTTACGTCAAATAAATCGCTGTTGTCGGTTGTTTTCCAGTTTTCTCTTTTCATTTTTGTTTCCCAAAGCTTACCACCTGCAGGAAAAACTTTCGGCAAAAATCCTTTCTCGCTGCAAACTAATTCCTAAAGTATAAAATAAGTTAAACTAAACAATAACTTCTTACTTAACTAAGAAATATGTGTATGGGTCTATAACAACTGGCATAAAACTCATATACTTGAGATTAATACAAATAAACAGTATATCGTCATTCGAAATATTGCCCAGATATTCTCAATATTACTAACCTTTCATTAATTGAAATTTGTTTGTAGACAACGAAGTATAGACGAGAAAATGAATCCACCAATCTTTCGTTCCCATCTGGCTAACACGTTGTTTGGAAGAATGATGGCGGCTTAAGGTCGCGTGACCACAAACTGCCAATAGAAAAGCATTATTATATGACCACTCTCACTATAGGATTCGTATTACCGAACGTAACCGTAGAGGAGGGTTGGAGTCCCGACCATCTTTCCCTTTAGTCTGTTAAAACGGGTAAGAAGAAACATGGCGTTAAACGGTGTCCAGATGTGGAAAACAATTTACGATAAAGACACAGATGTGAGGTTCATAGAAAAAGTTTTAAGAATATTTAAAAGACTTTTTCGCGCAAGGAAATATGTTAGGGACGTTGGATATATTATGTAGAACCGAGGGTTCGGCGGGACGAAAAAGGTTGGCAACCACCGGTATAGATGAATATTTTTCTAAATGCTCGAGCCGTGTCTAACTTTAAGCACGTACATTGGTGAGAAAATGAGAATCTCGTAAATTAGAAAACCGTAAGAAAATTATCACGGAGATAGAAGAAAGCATTGTAAAAATAGCAGAGGCGCTTTATAACATTATATTTTGTTTAAGAATTGAAATAACAATTTTAAATTGTGTATTATTCGAAATTCTTCATTTATGTGGTGTATTAATAAAAGTTTTTTATATTTGGTATAGGCCTTACGTTTAAGCCATTCGTCTATAAGCAAATCAACGATTGGTCGAATGGTAAATCTACTCTCGAACGATGTCGATAGATTCGACAAAGTACGTATGTTACTTAAGCCGTGCAATTTATATATACATATACATTATTAACTTATTAAACTATATTCTATATTTTTTTGACAAACTTAAATTGACATTTCTGTTTTTGTTATTTTTATAGTTTATCTATTTGTCTTATTACGTGATAATTTCTCCTTTGCAAGCAATTATAATAGTTGCCATGTTATGGCAATATATAGGTCCAGCTGTGCTGGCCGGTGTGGCGGTTTTATTCCTCTACATTCCCGTGCAGTTTGGACTCGGAAGGCTTTTTTCTAAATTAAGGTAAACATTGTTTAAGTTTCGTACTTTCGTGTATATTATAGTATTCGTTTTACAGCAGTCTGTATCATTGTTAAAAACACGTACTACTCATATTGTTTTCATCCCTTATTAATTAAAAGAATTTAAAAAGAAAACATAACATTAAAAAAATGTAATATTTAATCAAATACATTAAAATCAAAAATTTATATATCATTGTTCGACATACGTTAATTAATATTATGGGCCTAATTTAAACTTTAAAATATATTGTTTACTGTACAAATAAATTAGAAAGTTAAACAGCGTTTGAGTTAGAACGCATTTCGCGTGTGTGATCTTTTAGAAGAGCGAATGGTACAGTACCTGATCCGGCGATTCTATCGTACAGACGGTAATATTCGGTAATATTTACTGTAAATAAACTAGTACTAATGCCTATTCACAAACACTCTATTTCCTTGCTATTTATTATTAAAACATTCAACTTTTAACGCGAAAGAAACATCAAAAATTGTCAAGTTACGTAATAATTTCAGTTATTAATTATTTAAAATTTAAATCCTGCGAAAAGTTCAAAATAGTCGTAGCGAATTAATTAATGCTCTGGACGATTCGGTTTGAATTAAAAAACAAATTGTAATGCTCTTTTCACAGTTATTCAGTTTTTCATAAAATCCTCTTACTACCTTACCCGAGGCCTCTTCCGCAGCCCTGCTACGTTTGTGACCCACGGAAATAAAAAACAATAAAATATTCTTCTTTCCATATAAATAAAACGTTTATTCATAAATAAATAACTGCGCTTTCTTGAATTTTCCACTATATCTTTCTTTTACCACCGTGGATACCTCTTCACGCTCATCTAAACCTCAGACTAGTGCCACTTGGTAGGTGACGGGTTCGCTCGCTCTCCCTGCTTTTATTCCCGACTCTGGACTTTTCACTGGGTACTTTTCGTGTTTTTTTTTCAGTAGACGCCTACATTGTCCTGCCTCGTCCGCTCGCAGTCTAGCCGGGTACTTCTTCGCTCTTTGCGACTTTTTTCCGCTCTTAACGGGACCGGTTATTGCCAACGATTTTTGTCCCGTACTTTTCCAGGCGGACGTGTTTCGTCGGTCCAGCTTTCGCCCCGGTAACGCCATCCGGCTTTCTTTATTTTTGATACTGGATAATTCTCCGGGAGGAGAAACAGCGCGGTTCTATCTCTGGGGTTGTCATCGGGAGTCCATCTCCGGTGTCCATATTGTATCTGTGGGATCTCGATTGGGTGTACGGTTAGCTGACTTTCTGCACTTATTTCTATCATTCGTACCTCTATCAACAAAAACCTTGCTAAAACTAAAACCTTGCTAAGGAATAAGGTTTTTGTTGCTATAAGCAACAAAAACCTTATTCCTTAGTTTTAGCTTGTTCGTGATACGATAGGCCTTATTCACTCCGTAGTTATTCTAGCACCGAACTCTGCGTCCCTGCAAGAAATGTGTCTAATATTCTTATGTTGACCGGTAGTAGACTTCTGCGTTTCCATAGACAGGTCGAATGGGCAGACAATCCGTGAAACATTATTGAAGCCTCGGGCCAAATGAAATAAATCCTATACGGAATTGCGGCACGTTCTTATCGGTGATGCGACCCTCACTGTACTCCTTTCCACCAAGGATGCCGGTGATGTCAGAAAGTTAAATCAAGTTCACTAACCCCTTTACTTTCTTATATATCCTTATCATTTCTATAAAATACTATCTCTAAATACGATAAGGCAATAGAATTGCAAACAACACAGAACACGTAAAATATTATAAATTCAATCACAATACGTAGTTAATTTTATAGACTCAGCCTTGTGGGATTAGTAACTACACTCTTTCTACACAACGCAAAGAGTTACTAGCGCGCTGTAAGCGAATCGAAGTCCGAATTCTGACCAGACTGGCTAGGAAAAAAATAATAAATAGCTGTCATGAATCATCACTCCCCCGTTGTCTACTCGGAACTTGTATATAAATAAGACTTATTATACTAATGCAGTTTGTGATTAGCAAGGAGAAGAAATCTTAGTCAAAAGTCAAAGCAAGATGTCTTGGCTTTCGGATGAAAAAGACATTTCGTTTTGACATTCGGCGTTTAACATACCGAAGTCGACAGCGTGCAATATTATTAATTAAAAAAAAGGAAAGGATAAAAGTAATAAATAGGCAAAGGTTAGACAATGTCGACTTCCGGGAAATGGCTCGTTAAGAAACAGATGAAAAAATTCTTCCTAATATCAATAAACGAGAAACAATTATCTGCTGAAATAAACAATCTAGACGACGGTCAAATTATTTCTTAGGAGTTTTTCTTTGGTAAAAATAAGCTCGATACTACAAGACTTTTTCCTGTTTTATTGTTGTCTGCAAAAATCGCTTCCAAAGTCAAGGTTGTGTTTATCAAAGAAAAACCGTTAAGAAAAAAAAATGGTCTAAATTGTAATAAGGTTTTACTCGGTGCAATTTTTTACATCTCGGATATTTCTGTTTGGATTTATAAATTTCTATGCAATAAGTTACAATATCAGAACAATAGAACATATATATTTATATATAGACTACTAGGTGGCCTTACTGTTCCGGGGAATCCGAGATCGAATCAGGGCGAGTAACTCCGAGAATTCTTCAAAGGCACTACGTAACACATAAGAGCCGCCGCTAACTACAGGATGCGGGAGCTAGCGTACGCTCGCTCGCGCTCCTAAGCCCCGCCTTTTTTCCCATGATGCTTTGAGCCATTTTTGCTAGGTAAGCTAACACAACGTTTGCTCGCGTAACGTAGTCCACATGACGTGGATTCCACAGATGTAGATTGGCTATAGAACAAGATTTTATTATAACCTATACTTGTAATCAGTCAGTTTTCGTTCCGAACTTTGAAACAGCATGGAAAAAACATGTTTACTAGTTAAGCCTAACTAGGCTTAACTAGCCGAAAACTATTTATACTGTATATTACTATTTACATACAACGGTTATACTATTTTCTTTTCAATACTGAATGTATTAATCATGTAATTTACGTACATCGATAAAATTCTATAATTTCTTTTTCGATATGTGACACGTTTATGTTGTCATCCATTTTTCCTGTCCTCTCTTGCTAGCGTAAATACTCTAGTTGTTGAAATATCTGAACAGCGAGCGTACTCTCGTATCGCTGCGCTAGCGAAGGAAAAACAGCGTGGGCAAGAAGACATGGGCGGAGCCTTCGACGTCATCGGTTGTCTAGCGCACGTTTGCTAGCGTGTTTGCTCTCGCAAAGCCCTAGTTTGCGGCGGCTCTAAGTCAAGTTTCTTCTTTATTACCCGACCGCTCTCGTTGAGGGCTTGACCGAACTCAAATTGAGCAGGGGAAAAAAGTCCTTTTAGTATTCGCAACTAAAGTGGATATTATTTGTTACAGTAATTGTTGACGTTTGATATCTTCACTCGCTTAATCGTCGACTCACTTCCAATGATGTCACCATTATTTCGGGAATGAATTTATTAATTAATTTAATTAACTTTACTGACATAATTCGTTGATAATTGAGGTTTAAAAATATACGGCACGTTAATTAGAATATATTAATATAAGTTAAATAAACACTTATATAAGTTTTTCTTTGTAATTTCTCTACATATATTTACAATCTAGACGTTTTATATAGACGAATGAGCTTAGATAAATGTCACGTTTTGAGTTTCTTAAACTTTACCCGAGGCCGGGTTAAAATACAAATGAGAAGACAAAGTACCAGACGACAAGAAATTTTTGATGGAGCTGCGAGTATTTTAAAGCGCATTCGGGAGGCTGAAAATACGAAGAACAACGAAGGAAACATTTACATCATACATATTACAGAGAGTCGCCATTGTACGAGAGTCGTCAAATGGCGACTCTCGTACAATAATTCAGCATTGAAAATACATGACAAACTGTAAGTTATAGATGTGAAATAATATATTCCGTTTTTACAGGTTAAAAGCGGCAAAATTAGCCGATAAAAGATTTCTTCTACTGAACGAAATACTGACTGGCCTGAGAGTTATCAAGATGTACGCCTGGGAAGATCCGTTAATCGATTCGATAGAAAAAATAAGAAAGTAAACCAGCAAAGTTTTACGTACGTCTCTAGTAAAAGCGTATAATTACGTATTAATTAAAATTCGTTACTTTATTTAGGTTGGAAATCCAAAGTATCAAACAGTCGTTGCAATTATACGGAATTCCTTTTTCTCTGGGATCCATATTTTCCAAATTGATCCTGTTCCTAGCCCTAGCAGTCTACTCGCTGACGGGTGGAAAGTTAACTGCCAGTTCTGTTTTTATTACAGTTACGATTTCTATGAATTTCTATCGCTGCATGTTTTACGCATTTCCTCAGGCCGTTTCCCAAATCGCGGAAGCTTTGGTTTCGTTACAAAGATTACAGGTACTTACGGTGCTACCTACTATTTTGAAAATATTCTACCATAACCTATCTACGTTATATATTTATTTTGCGAATTTTGAATTTCAGAATTTTCTTTTGCTGGAAGAAAAAAGTACCGACGTTTCTGAAGAAATGTCTTCCGTAGATAAATGCGGAGTTTGGGTGGACGACGTTTCTGCCTCTTGGCATAAGGTATGGAAACGCTATTGTTTTATATAATAACTGTATTATTCGAACCGGATTGGCGAAATTATGAAATAAAATTGAATTCGAGTCGACACTGGATAATTTATGTAAATATCGAAAATTGTCAGACTTTATCTGTAGACATTTCGCGGGCATCCAGGACGTTCGTCCACTGTACGAGTATTATCATGACGTAAGTCGTAGCTGATTTTACACACTGTATAAATTCTATAGATTCTACACGCTGTGTAAAAAGAGTTTCAGTCTTCGTTTTACGATTTTTCTCCATGCTTAATTACGCTGAAATTTTCCAGGTCGGTAATATCGCAACAAAATATATTGTAATTTTCGCGCGAGATCGAAATATCTCGTACGGTATTTACAGCCTATTCTAACATAATTGTAGATTTATATTAGATTCTTTAGGTTTATACGTAATATTTGAGTAAGTTTGTCTGGTATTTTATTTTATCTTTACTGAATTCATTATGTTTCGGTAATTCCCGCCTTTTACACATTCTAATATATAATATTTTTATTGTTTGTGATTTTATGTAAATTTAAACAAATGCTATAATGTTAATTTGGGGCGACGCTTCTTGTCTACGGTATTACCTTTATAATAAATAAATAAATAACGTAACCGGTTCGTATTTTCGCTAATCGTTATAAACGTAGACTACAGTTATAATAAGTGACGTACGAAAACTAAGTGCTGGTTTATAAATTCAACACGGATTAGTTTACTGATATTTGCAACAATTTCTGCATTATTATTTTTAGGAAAATTATTGCTCGAGATTTTAATAATCGTGGTCGGAGCCCACGTACATCGAACTTTCCTATTGTAAACAATAAAAATTTGAAACGTCAAATACCATAATTGCTTAACTCGAACCTTGCTTACAGAGAAGATATTTTATTAAGCAAAAATTTTTCTATTTTTAGAATTACAGTTGTCCCTCTATAGTCCGACGTTTTTTAATCCGACATGCTCAGTAGTCCGACGCACCTCCCGTCAAGATACCCGTCCCCGTTACGTGTTTACTTGCACAGAAGCATGTCGCGATGTGAATCTCCCCATCCAATTCTTACTCGATGACACACATTTCGTGTGTTTTATGTGAGCAGTTGTTTTATGTGAGCAGCTGTTCGAACAGTTGGAGTAGAGAATATTGTAAGTTAGCAGTAACATACAATATTCTCTACTCCAACTGTTCGAACAGAACTGCTCACATAAAACACACGAAATGTAGCAAAACAATGCGAAATATGTAATTATTTTCGGTAATCCGGACACTTTTGGTAATCCGACACACCTTTGGTCCCATACCTGTCGGATTATCAAGGGACAACTGTATTTTTAATACAAGAAAGTTTGAATAATCTTGGTACTGTTGTATAAGTTTTCGGAAGGATAAACTTGGAAGCTAATAGAGAGGTTGCGGCCGACGTTTTCAACGCGAAAACGTGTACGTCGGACGTTCGGCGCCGCTTTCATATAAGCCTAGAAGTTTGACAATAATGTTTGCATAGTCGGTGGAATCATGATCGACATTCCAAACACCATTGTCAAACTTCTAGGCTTATGGGAAAGCGGCGCCGAACGTCCGACGTACACGTTTTCGCGTTGAAAACGTGGGCCGCAACTTCTCTAATATACCCGTAGGTTTTGAGGATAAATTGAAGCAGACCAAACGAAGGGTGTCTCACATTCGAAATGTTATATTTACTCGTAAGTTCAATATAACAAACAAAATACTCGTATATATTTCGATAATTAATTTCGAAGGATCGTCCGAAATCTGAAAAAATATTTATATCATTTGTAAATGTTCAACATCTTTCTTTTAGAAAATAATTTTCCAACATTCTTCAACGGTTACAGACTTTTCTGCTTCTTAATATTGAAGTAAAACATTCCCTGCTAGTTTCATCGTGGATCCGAAAACAATTCGGAAAATTTGTTGTCGCGGCCGACAAACTAGCATTCGCTAGTAAAAGTCTTTTGAGTTTTGATTCCATTGATTCTTAATTTGGCAATAAACAATTTTTTTCTTTGAATATTTCAAAGGGGAGGAAGTCATCTACTTAAGTAATACGAACATCCTTAGTTGACTAACTGTAAATTTTGCGAATTATATTTTTGAGCAATTATAAAGGTGTATCGATTTTTACAAAGTACACGTATTTAACGACGTTGATTATTGTAATATTTTTTATGAAAATGCAGTTACAGGAAAATACCGATAAATTCTCGAGAAAGATTGGCTACGAGAAAGAGTCAAATTCTTAAAAATAAATGGTGTAATAAATATCCTTGACTTATAAACCATTGTAAGCATTACGCCTCCACCCGTTATGTTTTTTAATCGCGAGAAAGTTGGATTCCTGGAAAGATACGTTGTAAAAAAATCAGTTTTTATAACTTTTCGTGTAAAGAATTTATTATAAATGTATGGCAAATACACAGATGTTGTAGCTGGAGTAATTCCATTCACTAGTACGTATAATATATTTTTAAGTCTAGTCCATATTTATACAATATATCAGAATAAAATATTACGTTATCAATTATACAAATTGTACAGATAACTTACGACGAAACCGAAAAGTCAGTTTTGTAAACGATGTTTCCGGCAAGCGTAACTTTATATAAATAGGGACGACTGACAAGAGCTTTCCACAATAGGCGGATAAATTGTCTGCCGTTAAACTTGGTTAGACCCGCTGGGTAATAAATGTTTTTCCACTCGAAAATATTAAGAGGACCTAATAAAGAAAGTCGGCCGAACGGGAACCGACAGACTATTTTCCGGAGGCTTATTACCTTTCCGGGTCACGTAGTTTCATTTAAATACAAAGTTTTATTATTTTTTCGCTATCCTGTGATAAATTTTAACATTTTTCCTAAATTTAAAAATAAAAAAATTATGTTTAATTATGAAAAATATTTTTAATACAATTTATACATTATAAATAAACTTTTGTATCTTTTGTAGGATAGTAAAACAGGCAATTTACAAAATATATCGTTTTCCGCTAACTCTGGAAATCTGATTGCAGTAATTGGATCTGTAGGATCGGGAAAGGTATCGTACTATCAGATTATTACTTAGTATTCATTAATATATTACTACTGTAGAAACGTGCGTTATTGCAGTTATCAAGTAACGATTGAACGTATTTAAAAGCATCCATGTTTTCGATTTTAGTTGCGATTAATTGAAATAAGTACTGGTTCCATCTGGAAGTACTTGTTATAAAATTGAGTAGGAAAATATAAAGTTTATTTGAAAATATTTCTCTTCTTGTAAATTATGTGTACGTTTTTACAAAAAAGAAGTACTTTTCAAAAAATAAGACAGATATTTCTAACGAGCTCGCGGAATTAAATGTTTATAGGTTAAATACATAAACGTCCGTATCCTCAGATTTTCAAACTGTCCGTAACCTATAATTTTCAAAACATAATGAAAATTTCTTTATCGTTTACGAGTAATAAAAACTTACTTTTTAACAACAAAGTTTATTTATGGTACCTAAATCGCTAAGTTTTGACTGACGACACGACGAAATTTTCCAAACAACCAATAAGCCTCGATTTTAATTAAAATTTTTTGAAACTTAAAATTTTCAAGAAGCTAAGTCGTCGTCTTTCCGCCGTGTCCAATCACCAATAACCGTCGGCCATTTTAATTAAAACTGTGTGTATACTTTATAATTGGCTCACTATTAGTGAACTTTTTTTAACTGTTTTACGTAGTTCTGCAGAGGAGTAACCTACAATATTAGGTCGTTTCTGCCAAGACTGTTATCGTTTTCTGATGATGGAACGTGGCGGAAAAAAGACGATTAGTTTCTTCGAGGTTTTAATTTTTAACGAATAAGTCTTTCGAATATTTATATGTCGCACCTTGTGAACGAAGAAGGTAACTTTATATCTCGGTTACGCACTACAAAATTCGTGCATTATGTAACACGAAATGTTGAATTAATTTCTATAATTATTTAAATGATATTTTTAAAAACGGGTAATGTAATTAATAAACAGAATATTTAAAATTCATATATTCTATAAAATCATAGAAATGTCACTCCTAATATTAAACAATTTTAATAACGAGCTAAATTACGGCTTAATTTTTTAATGTACGCCGATTGTGTTTTCTTAGACGACGTTACTAATGAGTATAATAGGAGAACTTCCAATTACTTCTGGAAAAGTAACTTTACAAGGAACGGTCGCTTACGCATCTCAAGAACCTTGGATATTCGGTGGAACTATTAGAGAAAACATTCTTTTTGGCTCAGATTTTCAAGAAAAGAAATATAATAAAGTCTTGCATCTTTCGGCACTTGACAAGGTGAGAAGATTCGTACGTGCAGTTCTTATTTGTTAGCGTAATAAAAATACTCCTATTATCAACGAAATTGAATTTTTATTAGAAAATTTAGAATAGATTAATGTTTGTAAAAATTGAATTGAATTGAAAATTGATATCGTTAGCTATTTATTTACTCTTGTATATACATAAGTTGTTAAAGTTCAAATTCATAAGAAATTCGAACAAATGGTTCCATTTAGAACGATGAATGTAAAAGCCTGAAGATGGCCTTTCCGAATAGGCCGAAAACGCTCGGAATAAAGAAAAAAACACGGCAAATGTAAATCGGGTGTGTTTATTAAAGTAACTAATATTGCTGAGAAGATAGATAGACAGATAGATTGAATTGTAAACTTGAACAAATTTAAATGTAGACATTAAATGCTATAAAATATCATTTTCATTTTTATAACACGCTAAAAATAAAATGATATTTCTCAACCAGTTGTATTCAATTTCAGATTTTAACTAACTAAAGGCAAATTTTGTGGTAAGAAACACAATCCATTCTAACCCAGCTTCTATTTTCAACTAAATATAAAAACACCTTATCGCCGGGGTACAGTAGTTAAATCACTTTATTAAACGCTTTGCGGCTGTATTTATCGGCCCTTGTCGGGTGTAAATATATCGTTAATATTAAAGAAATCGAATTTTGATTAGAAAAATCGTGTTTCAATTCGGAACGACTTAACATCCGACATTTTTTTTACAAATTCAAAATCGAATTAACATCAAGAATATATCGGTAATCTTGAAACCGTGTCGGTAATTATTTTGCCTCTTGAACACCCGAACACTAGGCAATTTTCAACTGAATACATTTACAATCTTATTTCGTCCACTAGTACGTATCTATTAACAGGACTTATTAAATTGGCTTTAAGAATACTGCAAATTTAATTTACAGGTAAATTAAATAAAACGATTTTCTAATCTGTGAAACTGAGTTGCAGTATTCTTAAAGCCAGTTTAATAAGTCTTGTTAATAGATACGTACCAGTGGACGAAATAAGATTGTAATAAATTAAGGACATTCGAGCATATTAATTTAATTTTGAATAAATTTACAGGTGAAAATTGCTTAGTGTTCGGGTGTTTGTACTACAGTGTTCAAGAGACAAAATCAGGAATATAGTTAGCGAATTTAAAAAAAACATATATATATATATATACATTTTTTTCGTTAAATTAGAATCCTAAATTATTAGAATAACTATAAACTATCAAAATTTTAATACCATAACCTAACTAATTAATATTTAAGGCTGCCAATTCGTCAATATTGATGCCGTGTTACAAAGTGTTTTTATTCGTCTCGAGTCCTTTTTTAATAGCGTATCTCCGTGCCGTTGAAAATCGCTCTACGTACCTGACGTTAACGCATTTATTTCTAGGGTTCTGTTTAAAGATCTCAAATTTTTTCTTTATTCGTGGCTGTAAAGGGCGAGTGTACTTCAGTAGAGAGGTTGCGGCCGATGTTTTCAACGCGAAAACGTGCACGTCGGATGTTCGGCGCCGCTTTCCTAAAGGCCTAGAAGTTTGGCAATGGTGTTTGGAATGTCGAGCGTGATTCCACTGACTATCCAAACACCATAGTCAAACTTCTAGGCTTATAGGAAAGCGGCGCCGAACGTCCAACGTACACGTTTTCGCGTTGTAAACGTCGGCCGCAACCTCTCTATTAATGATTTTCGATTCGTCCCAAAGTACCGAAGTTTCTTGTACGTTTGCGATTGCTGCCAATGCCGTCTTTTCTTTCCTTTCCTTGTATGGTATTGGTTTTCTTTAACTCTGGTTTTTAAATTCCTCTTAGGTACGCCAAAATATGCTGTTTTGGGTTAAGTTCTTCATTAACTATCGGAATTCTGTATACCCCTGTTTCAGTTTCATCCGGAAATGGATCCTTGTCGTTTCGCAGTGTACGATATAAATTAAGAGCTGTTTCATATACCATGTACGAGTTTTTTTGTTTGGAAAGCTCTTTCATTATAAGCCATTATATGCCTGATTTTTTTGGTATGTGAAGTTTATACGAACCGTTTCATTCGTTCTCATTTTTCCGGTATTTATTTCGTTACACCGATTAACCAGACTCATAAACCATTTTTAGAACATCCCAGTTCCTTAGTTATCCTCCGATTTCTTTTTAATTCTGCCTCTTGGACCACCACACTCGAGTTGCAAACGTGGGCTCTTTTAATTAAAGCCCTAAATGCAGACGCTTTATATCGTTCCGGGTCATTTCATGTGGCCGGTATATATAGATGGTTCGTACAAAGTTCACATACCGAAAGGAAATCGGGCTTATAATGGATAATTTTTTTCATAAATTATCTCTCGTGCCTTTTTTTCTTTTTGCGTTTGTAGTAAGTTTATTTTCTACTCTGTCGATGGCAGTGGCCAATGAAAAACTAGAGCTCGGCATTTTTAAATTAAATCGTCCATAAAAATTTCAGATTTGAAATCGATTCCCACAGAGATGAGGGTGGATGACTTTATCTGGAACGACCGTCGAGTTTAATGTACAGGTATTTCTCGAATTCTGCTATTAATCGATTCCGAATGAAAATCGCGTAAAATGAAATCGTGTGATAAAATGCGATGAATTTCATGAGACCAAAATAGGAATATTTCCCCATAATAAAGAATAACTACCTAAATTTACAATAAAATATATTTGTTTCGTCCAATTAAAACATTTGTAAATAATTTAATTCTATTATGAAACACTGACGACGTCAACTCCTTGGAACAAATGGCGTAAAATGAGGATTGACGGTTATTATGAAATATAAGTGTGTTTGCTATCTTTTGCAAAATACCGTTTGCGAGGTTTTGAGATGTATCGATTCGAAAGAATATACACTTGCAACATCCCCTAGGTAAGTAAGTAGTAGTTAGATTGCATTTGTAGGCGCGAGGTCGTAGAAGTTAGTGTCTAAGGTTTTGAACTCGCGTAAAAGCAAATTCATCCAATGTCAAATAGCGTTCAACGAGCAATACTGTACTGTGTATTTATTGCTGTTCTGGCTAATTGTTTCTTATATTTTCCAGGATATTAATGATTTTCCCGATAACGATTCCACATTAGTAGGAGAAAGAGGAACGAATCTGAGTGGAGGTCAGAAGGCCAGGATCAATTTAGCCAGGTGAGAATTTCTTACCGCCATAGTATGATTGTTGACAACCTACGATAAATTAAATACTTTCAGAGCTCTCTATCTGAACGCCGATATAATTGTTCTCGATGATCCTCTCAGTTCTGTCGATCCTCCCGTTGCCGAGCATATATTTCACAAGTATTTTAACGCTTTCTATTTACCCTTCGGAATATATTCCTAGAAAATGTACTAACTTTGACATTAACATTTCTTTTTCAGATGCATAATGCAATATTTAAAAAATAAAATTCGAATTATAGCGACTCACCAAGCGCAATTTTTGAAACAAGCGGACAAAATCATATTATTAGAAAAAGTATGTATTTTTTATATTTTTATTAAATGCACTATACGAAAGAATTTTTAATTTACATTGTTATGAAAAATAGAAAGATTTCTTAATAATGTTTCCTGTCAAGTGTAAAAAAATAAATTTGTACAGATTTTTAAACACACGCTGTAATAAAATTTACTAATACTGTATTAAATTAGCGATTTACCAGATTTCCCATACATTGTAGCGATGTAAATCCACTTCGTATCGCAATCGTATAACACCTTATATACCACAATTCATATAGAGAGTAGTTGCAATATCGTTACAGCGTGTTCTGGAAGCCCGCGGGATGCGAAAACGTCCTATAAACAGTCCTTCAAATGCATTGTTTCGACTTTAGACAGGCTAGAGGTTGAAGTTAGACTACCTACTCTTAGCAGTGCTGTAAACTAGCATATTAAGTACAGCAGTCCAACGTCTTAAAAGCTGCTAAATATCGATAGTTTATATGTAGCTACCGTTAAGATGTAGCTATCTTAAGGATATCTTTTACAATTAACACGATTTCCACATTTATTTATTAACAACGAAAAAAGTACAATTCGCCGGACGAATATTTACAGATGTATGGACAAGTCACCCTAAACATATAAAAATTGACAAGTGGAGCGGTAAGGGAGAAAAGTTTGCTATTAAATTTTTAATATAAAACACAACACGATTCCGGTGGATAAATTATTAAATTTCTATCCAAAAATTTTTATTTGTATTGTAAGTCATTAGTTATGAAGTATCGTAAGTAAAGTATATCTTATCCGTAGAAAAATTATCAGCTGCCGTTTCATTACTATTTTTAATATTTTATTGTAAGAGTCATGATTTACGCAAATGTATGAGGAAAATAACGGCTAAGAAAACAATCGTTAGAAAAAACCATTTTGTAAATGGCAAATTAATATGCTGGGCGAAAGATAGCTCGCTGCGCTAGGCTAAATTTCGAGATCCTCCTGCTCCAAAGAGACACCGAGAGATAGGGCAGTCAACTCTCCAGTCTACCGACCTTTGTTATATTTAAAATGTTTCTACTTCTCAAAACTCAAAGTCAATCCAATTATTTCTGCGAGAAATTTTTGCCAGTCAAAATCTATCGAAAATCAGCACTCTAAAGGCTTCCGATTGTCGGATGACCAGGCATTTTTGTTTTTGTAAAGGTAGAATATTAAAATTATTTTTTGTTAAGTTATAACTCGATATTTTAAGAATCTACTTTAACGTTCAGGGAAAATGTGTGGCCGTAGGAACGTATAAGGATCTGGTGGCTGCGGGAATCGACATCGAGTCGTTGCCAGAGGAACGAGAATTCAAGAATAAGGGAAGGATTAATTCGACTCCTTCGTCACCCGTGATCGACACCCGTCCTTCCATTAACGACAATTCCCACAGGGCAAAAAGTAGCAGAAACATATCTTTTCCACGAAACCAAAAAGAGGATCACGTCATCGAAACAAAGGTAACGGTAGAAAATATCGTATATTTTTTCACCATCAGACGTCTCGGGATATGCAAATACAGTGGAACCTCGGTATACGACCTTAATCCGTTCCCGATGTTTGGACTTATACCGAATTGGAGGTATACCGAACCAATCTTTTCCATAAGAAGTAATGTAAAAATGATTAATCCGTTCTCACGTAAAAAAATGGCTGGCTTTAAACACCTGGCTTTCCTGGCTAGTTCCTATTTGATTTTTCACGAGATCAGCGTGTATCCTTTTAGCTTTCTCGCAAATAATTGCTTCCGATACGCCGTCGCCAGCACACGTTTTCCAGTTAGACTATCCAAAGCAAAAGCAATTTCTCGACACGATCCAATGTCTTAGAAATCTCTGTCACGATCTCTGTTTAGAAATCGATTTAACCCCTTTCGCAACGTTAGCAGATTTTATAATGTCTTTACTTTTCGCGATTTTCGATATCGTCGTTCTCGGAATACGGCACGCAACAGTTAAAATCTGGAATTCGCGTGCCACCTTCGTATTTCTCAACAATCTCTTTTTCAGTTTCATTGTGATTCTAGTCATTTTTTTAGTTTTCTGTTGCTTTTCATTTGCCTTTTTGCGATTCGTGATTAATAAAAATAATAAAATTTTACTTACGAATTAAAATGAGAAGAAATTTAACCAAGTTATAAACCGTTGCACCGCCAACGTCTAGTCTGGTCTAGTACACCGATAGTGCTACTTGTTCATTGATGACGCGTATAATTGAATTATGTCGTATACCGAGCAAAATTTATTTCGTCCAAACAGGACGTATTCCGAATTGGGCGTATTCTAAAGCAGACGTATAACGAGGTACCACTGTATCTATGTACCAGTAAGACTGCGAGTTGCGCTTGTAATTAAATATAGAAAAACGGCAAATTTTTAAAACGCTGTACCACAAACGACGATAGAAACGAAAGAAAACGAGTTCGGTTTAAAATCGGGCGGCAGATTACCGAGTCGTTGTCGTTGTTTCTTCTGCCGGCCACGTGACTATTAAAAGCTGCCGATGACGTTCTCGCCTCACTCGGCCTACGGAACGTTTCCGTACAACACTTTTTACTTTTAATTTTAATTTAATTTTTTTGTTACGCGTCGGGTTGCAGGGATCACAGATTACACAGAGAAAGATGCTCAACTCCCTATACTTCCCGCGTTAAAGAAAGTCGACGTCCGAACTTTCCATTCGAACGTTAGTGGCGTAATTAGACGTCACCACACGAATCGTCGATGACGTTACATTTCGATGCTCGTGCGTGAAAGTTGCTACCTCGGTTTATACGGTGGCAGTTGAATTTAAAACAATATAAAAACCGCATTAATTGGCACTGGTGTAATACAAACGGAATCCAATAATTCGTGTTTAAAACTGCTTAAGTCAAATTAAATAACAAAATTTATTATTAAATATACTTTTTTATTATTTTTCATTAGTATGTAATAAGTGTTGCGCATTATATTTAACGTATTAATTAAATACCAAAACAAATTTATATTTAACTAGCAGATGAGCCCGACGTGGCCCGGATAGCCAGGATTAAGATTATTAGATTATAGCCCATCTCACCCGTCTTCACCGGGTTAAAGAATTAGGTCGCCCTCTTTCGAGACTAATTAAGGAATTTATAGATGGGTCTAAAAATATGTTCGATTTCCCGCAAAAACGCAAAAACCCGCACCTAAAATAGTACAGTAGAAGCCGAGTTCTTCGGGGTAAGACTTAACCCTATACCTCCCCCCGCGGGGGAAATTTCCAAAAATTCCTTCTTAGTGTGCATTCCCATGGCGTAACCTAACTGCGAACCAAATTTCAGCTTTTAACTCTTAACCGTTTGGGCTCTGTTTTTATTATTATTATCAATCCACCTCGATTATATAGGCTATATAGATTTAAATTTTCACGTAACGAATGGAAAAATTATGCTTACGTACTGTACCTATTAAATCATTATTAGGTTCTCGTTATCTTAAATATTTCAGCAATTATTATTGTACTAAATAAAAATATAAATTTTAATCTTTTATCGTTTCTATTCGAAGATGCGGTTACTGTTAAAAATTATCGCGTAAAATTTGTTAGCCTATTTATTTAACATTTTGTTTAGTCGTTGGTGAATAGCCTTAGAATTCGGTTGACAGTTGGTGTTGGAAGGGAGAGGTCACACTATTGTCAGCTAGTTTTTTGGATGTGTTCAGTGATTCCACGCTGTTTGGTGAGTGATTCTTATACACTGTTTTGTTCATTATGTTATTGTGAGCATTTCATTGGTTATTTTATTGGTTATTTTATTAAAATACATTAATTATCGCCATGTTACGTGCGTTTAAAATTTTTAGCTTTAAACAATGGCTGCTAAGCGTTGTTAGGCTTAGGGATGAGGTTGCTAGACGTGTGTTTTTAACAGTGGCGTCAGCCGCCTGGGGCAAAGGAAAATTTTGCCGTCTCCTTATTTAGGTATCTCGATTTAAAAGACTAAAATTCAGTTTCGTCACCGAAGAAGAAATGAAAAATTCCGTGCTAGTGTTGCCACCTTTTTAAGATCGCCGACCCGGAGGGCGGGTGAGGTTTGTTCGAACAGATTCCTGACGCGGGCGTATGTCATTTTGCAATGCGAAGAATAATGTGCAGCGCGTGCCGGGTCTAAATCAGTTACAGTTAGCGACTAGGGACACTCGGGTAGGAGTAACGTAAGTAACCTAGATGACTTAGCTCTATCTATTGGAAATATATTGGAGGTGTAGCTTATATGTATGCGTATGAACCGTACGAGAGAAAAAAAAGTCGACAGGTTGCGCACGGTATCGCCGGGTAAAATTAATAGTTCACCCGGACGGTGAGTCGATTCCCGGACTGTCCGGATGGTAACACTGTTCCCCGTGCTCATTTCGATCGGTCCAAATGGTACGTGCGACGAAAGTATAAAATGAAATGGTTCAAATTTTTACAAGATATTATTTATTGTGAAATTTTGCCGCCCCCACTACGCTACGCCACTGGTTTTTAACTTTTTATTCTTAAGCGGATTATCATAAGTAATACAGTCAACCCCCTTATAACGCGCTAGATACGTTCCACTTTATAAGAATCTCGCGTTGTAAGAATTCTTAAATACATGAGCCAATCGCAGCCCAGCACGTGTGAAGTTTACGGACTACGGCTGTTTGAAAGGTTTTTTTCCATAAAATTAATCGATTCTAGACTAATTTGTCTCAACATTTCCAAAACACGTATATTTTTTTGGGAATAATCCGCATAAACTATGCTATAAACAAAAAATTGTAGAATTACTTACCGAGTGTGCACCGTTGGACCACGCCATTGCTTAAGCTTGTTTTTGTCGCGGAGCGGCGCACCGAGCGGCCGCGTTTTCTGATAAGTTATTTTTCTGCGAAAAATTCGTTGAACTTTGGAGACATCGTTAATAAATAGAAATAATTTTTATGGCCGTTGAATAAGAAATGTTTTTTCACAAGAAATGTATAAAATTACAGTACTGTATTAGACTTACGATACCTAATTTACATACTGTACAGACGATAGTAAACTCAACTTACTCGCCTAAACTCTCTGTAGCGTGTAAGTTGTTCGGCTGCTCGTCCACTATTGGTCCAGATTCGACCAATCCTGTCGTGACACGAGTCGGCGATGACGTTTTACCGCATTTTACGAGTCTCTTTTAGCGTCTTTATACGAATATGGTCACAATTTTTTCGCCGCGATATACGAATCCGCATTATACGAATCCGCGTTATAGGGGGGTCGACTGTATATCGTTGGACGTAGTTTAACGCTATTTCCATCGCCCATATTAATAAATTTTTAAAAAATCTAAAAAAGATATTCATATAAAATTGCTGCTCAAAATGTCTTCAGATGAAACAGAGAATACCCAAGAAGTAGAAGAGGAAGATGATAAAGTAAGAGAATACAGAAACAGCATAAAAGAAATATAGAGATGCATTAATCAATGGAGAAACATTAATAAAGTATTAAAAAAGAGTGTCCTAACACACATCGATTGTGCGTCTGAGCTTTTTGAAGACTTATTGCTACTTTAACGTAAGGAAAGGGATAGAATTTTTCAACTTGAAGAAGAGTTGGAAAAACTTAAAAGCATGACTATTCAACCTAAGAAAAAACTATATGCAGAGATTTAAAAAAACAATACATAAGAAGACAGAAACAGATATAACGGTGTTTTCAAACGAATCAGAAATAAAATCAACCGAGATGGATGAAGAACTAAAAAAGACAATTGATATTAAAGCAATAAAGGTAGGCGTCAAAAATATGAGACTAATAAAAACTGGTATTATACTGAAATGTACGCCCAAAAAGAAAGCAGAAAGATTAAAATCGGAAATAAATAATTCTAGCAAATTCGAGGCAAAGACTTCCAGAAAACAAAATCAAAGGATTACAATAAACAAAATGCCATTCAGCTGGAAAAACACAAATGTCAAAAAGAACTTAATGATATATAATACAGAACCACAAGATGACAACTTCAGACCACTTTTTCCAATCAACAAAGATGAACACACGGAAATGTGCACTCGGGTGTTGGAACTGATGCCATCTTGTCGTAGAAAATAAAAGACAATGGAGACATGATCGTAATAGGCTGGAACAGCTCAAAGTTAAGAGACTTTTACAACTTCAAGTGCCGTAACGAGTGCTTTCAATACGGACATCTAGGAAATGATTGTAACGTCGGTATTCACTGCCCGGAATGCTCAAAAGGAGCCACACTTCACGGAAATGTGAGCATGAGTTACGTGAATTGAAATGCATTAACTGTGAGAAATATAACAAATCGTGCCGAAGAGCGCGAGATAAAGTTAACACCAATCGTGGAGTCAGAAATCGCGAGTGCCCTGTCTTCAAAGACCACTGCGAGGTAGCTGAGGTAAGAGTACGCGAATATTAAGGAAAACTTCAATTAACTTTATACAAATTAACTTGG